TAGAAGAAAAGTATCTTTAAATAAACATTAGAATTGAAATTACACCCTAACGAAGCGGGTGTGCATTTGATCCTTCGAGCCGGATCGAGAATTGAATCAACATCCAAAACATTCGGTCGTGCAACTCTACTCAATTTTCTCAATTAAGTCTTACATGACTAATTATGGAATGGTTGAATGAAACCAAACCAAAGGAATAATATGAAGACAACATCAAATGTAGCAAATGAGTTTAGCTTTATTGTTTTGCCACGGTTGTTTTAAACCGAAAAAAAATATATTTCTGACATACCTGATAATATAACTTCGGTAGCAGCAAATCCCACCTGGTTTGATCCTATAGTAATACTAGTGTCAAATATCTTGGATTCATCTTTGTGGAGAAATTCCAATATTCCATGGTAGAAGGATATAGGTAGACGCATCGACACAGCTTCTGGAACATTGAACTGTCAAACCAATTTTGGAATTGAATGAAAAATTATTTAAATTTATAAACATTTTTGAAAAACAGGAATTATAATAACCTCCGAATGACATCGTATAAGAAAACATATAAATTAAAAATGAATAAAGAAATGGAAGAAGATATTACCACTTTGGCAGACTATTTCCATTTATTAACGTCGACGTCAGCTTTTGAAAAGGTGAAACACGTCGCGGCAGGGAAGGTACTGGTAGAAAACACATATTACCAGTTACGACGGTACTTGAGGATACACCAAAAATATCTTCCAACCAATATGAAGACATTACCCTGTGATGTGGATATGTGTATGTTATCGGCAATGAAGCTTTTAGCAACCCGGAGTCGCAATTACACAGACTTGGACATCAATGAACAAATCGAAGATTCGATGAAACCTCCAATACGATGGATACTCTCGCTGAAATGTGACTATTTAACTTGGGAAGAGCAAGTGGAAGAAAACAGACAACTTAAGTATGTCGAAACAAAGGAAGATTACGACAGAGAATTGGAAGATGGTTTGCACGAACAAATGCAAGTCTATGAAAATAATTTACAATCTCTGCAGGGACAAGCAATCGAATTGCGTTCTCAACTAATAACCGAAGTGGAAAAAAGTGAAACAATATTGAGAAATGCGAAGGCCCACGAAAAATATCTGCTCCCCAAATCTAAAGAAAACCTGCGGGGCAAAGATGAACAATTCGAAGAAAAACATCGACTTCAGAAAGATCAAGTGCGACATCTGAAAACGAAGTTAGAGAAAGTCAATGAAAAATTGGCTAGCTCGGAAAGAGCGCGGCAAGTCTTGGAAGCTGAGAAAGATGACCTGTCCAAGCAACTAGCAAGTGTAAGAAAGGGACCTAATGCTGTTAATCTAAAACAGATTCGATGTTTAGAAGGAAATATTGTGAAGTGTTCCCCGCCGGCAATTCCTCATTTTAAGGAACGGGAAGAAGGAGAACATTCTGGTGTCGTGTCAGTGCTGAAATATAGAAAACCATTTCGGGAGGAACCTCTCAATTTACTAAAAAACAATTTGTGCAATGGCAATGAGGATGACCGTTCTGTAAGAAAAGTAATAAATATATAATATATTGCAGAAGAGGAAAAAGAAGAAAAGCTGCCACGCACAGAAGATCCAAAAATTGTCGACGAATGTGATAAATTAGCAGGAAAAGAATGCATCGAGGAAGTAGAAAAAGCCAAAGAAATGTCTCTGGTTCTGGAAGTATATTACCAGAGAGAACTCAATTACAAACAACCAATAACCTTAAGAACGGAAGACGACAAAGCAGAGCGTACCACGGAGCCAATGGTAATCCTTTCCGACGTGGGTAATGACGGTCTGCAGCGATGTACTACTAATTCGGTAGCATGGAAAATGAAGCCGGCAGATAAAGGTGGTGGTATCGGAAAGAGAGGCTGGATAGAAAAGTGGAGCCGTTTCCTGCCAGCGGTCACCTAGGATAATTTATATAATATAGTATAATTAGTTTTAAATCTAAATATTTTTTATATAGTCCTGTTCTACACCCATTTAATTTCTAATACAGTCCACTAAAATATAGGGACACAAAATACTTTGTACATACATCCGAATTTGAATGTTTTCTGAACAATTTTTTTGTTATTGAAAAGAAAACACATACATAAACAAATAAACATGACATATTAAGCCAAGAAAATAAAAAATTGAAATCATACCTACCTACCTTGATATCTTTATACCATGGATGTATCTAGATCTACCTTGGGCTATGCGAAAGAAAGAACGAATGTTAGTGGAACACATTCTGATACAAAAGTGAGTGACTAGCCTTCGTTCGCACAAAATTTCTTTCAATATCTTCCTTCGAGCGAATTTTGTGGCGAATACGTTTGCTGTCAATTTTTTGTATGTATAACACATAATAGAAAAATACAGTTAGACCCATCGACGCAGTTGCTGGGACAATGAACTTTGAAAGTAAAAATGTTGAATGAAAAATTTTTAATATTTGCAAAAATTGTTGAAAAATGCATATCATAGCAACCTCCGATTGGTGCCGTATAAGAAAACTTATAAAATGTACTTATTAAAAAGAAAACATTTTAACAATTTTGACATATCAATGATACCAAGCGTTGATGCATCTACATATATTCTTCTAGCATGGTATAAAAGCTCTACTGCATTGTAGATATGTAAATTTTTTTTCAAAAATAAGTACATTTTATAAATGTTCTTATACGACACCAATCGTAGGTCGTTGATATGTATTTTTCAACAATTTATGGAAATTTGAATAACTTTTCATTTAAAGATTGATCATGATATCGTGGACCAGGGTGAGTCTTTGTTGCAACCAGTGCTGCCAACCAAATTTCAGGAAAAATCGTCAATTCTTCAGAAAAAAAATCGGGATAATCGGCACTTGCATTTTTAAAAATCGTCGAAACATCGGCACCATATAAATTATTAAATAAATATAAAAATTCTGTATCGGTTGGTTTAAATTGTGTGATCAGGAAATTCTTTCTGTTTTTGATTCATTTAAACCCCTAAATATTTTGCGATTATCTCCAAAAGCACGAGGCCCATCTGTATCTCCAAATTTAGATTCATCTATATGATTTACTTGACTACGATATTTGGCTATATTCGTCAACGAAATCAGCATAAGAAGCCAGAAGTTCGCCATTTGTGTATTTTGGATTTCGCCTGCAAGTTATTTTCGGTAGAATGGGAATATTGGTATTTTTTCATACAAAAGTAGTGGTCCATTCTGCCATAGACAAATGAAGGTATAGGCCATGGCAGAAGAATACAGGTAGATGCATCAACGCTTGGAAGCATTGATATGTCAAAAAAAATTAAATGTTTTTGTCTTTTTATCCAGGTGGCTCTGATCATGTTTTGCATAGTCAACATTGCTGATTTACGCGTTCAACCCACTCGACTTCGAAAACACATTTTATCGTTTTCGATGTCATCACTAACTTTTCACATTTCTTTTTCACATGGAACAATTTTCAACTGACACAAATTCTACAGTTTATGTTATTTTTAACGTTTAAGAATTGAGTTACTTCAATATTCTCACTCAAACCCCTGAAACGATATAGACGACATCTGCTGATTTAATTTTTTTTTCGAATTTTCATTTGTCTATCATAACTTCATGTGAAATTTTGTGGCCTTTGGTTTCTATTTGTGAGCTTTTAACGGCTGCAAAATCAGGAACATTTTTAGTTTTTGGTCCATTTAAACCCCTAAATATATTGCGGACATCTTTAAAAACAAAAGGCCTGGCCTATCTGGGCCTAACCCTAACCCTATGAATTTTCGTGAGGATCGGACGATAATTGCAATCCACACATAATAACCCTAACCTGTGTTGTAAGTTGAAAAAATATTACAAAATAAACACTTCAATATTATAATTCAAATTGAAAAAATACTACAAAATCTATATTAACATCATTATTGGCAACTTTTTATGCATTTTTTTAGATTTTATTCTTTTATGCCAAAATTTGTCAAAATCGTTTCAAGAATTCTTGAGATATAAGCATTCTAGCTAACATCCCCTTCCTTTATATATACACATGGTATATATTTCGCTATATATATCCGATATATTTACAATCGGCATCTATGAAACGGTCAGAATTGAATTGTCATTCTGTTTGTAACTCACAGAAATAATGATCTTAGACCCAACAGTATATATATATATATATATATATATATATATATATATATATATATATATATATATATATATATATATATGTATGTATATATATATATTCTTGATCGGCGTAAAATTTTAAGACGATTTAGCCATGACCGTCTGTTTGTCTGTCTGTCTCTTTCGAACGAGTAGAGATAGAAGGCTAAAATTTTGCATACATGCATAGTTTACCAGCAGGCAGGTTAACTTTGTAAATGGGCCACGTCGGTCCACGTTTTCGTTTAGCCCCCATATAACGGTACCTCCCAATATTCGGTATTTTGATGATTTTAGCGTCATTATTCACCGTAGTAGTTGCAAATTACGTATCTAGAGTTCGTAATGGGAACTACAGTCTGTGACAGAAAATTCCCGCAGGTCCAGGTCTCCGTGTAGGCCTTATATATCAGTAACTCCTTATATTCGGTATTTTGACGATCTTAGGTACAATACTCACCGAAATTTTTTGAGATGCCGTATTTGAAGTTCGTAATGGAAGCTACAGCCTGTAACAGACAATTGTCTATGCAGGTCCAGGTCTTCGTATAGTTCCTATATAATAGTACCTCCCTATGTACGGTATTTCAATGTTTTTGGCTACATTATTCACCGTTTATTTCAAGTTTCGAATTTGGATATGGTAATGGCTTGTGACAAACAATACCTATGTAGGTGCACGTCGTACAGGCCCTAATAAAACGGCTATATTCGGTATTTTTAAAATGTTAACAGAATTTGTGGCGAATGTTATCTTTTTCGAAAATTTTCAAATTCGTTCTAAGTGGTGGAGGGTATTCAAAGTTCGGCGACACTTGAATCACCCTTATTATGGTTGGCGTTGTCGTAGGCGTTCAAGTGTCGTAGACGTAGTCGTAGGCGTTGTCGTAACTAGAAATGTTTGGTATTATGTACAATTTTCGACTACGTCTTTTTTGTAATAGATATGAAAAAGCAGGGTGCTCTGGAATAATAAACATTTTTTGAATTTACGAGCTACCCGGTTAAAAAAAATAAAAGCGTCAGTTGAAATGGTTGAAGTAAAACGATTATTTGTTTAATTAAATATTGAAATATGTTAAGTCCTGGCAATTGTTTAGCTGAGTATGAAGATGAGTATATTCAAAATGATTTAAACGTGAGGCGAAAAATAATGCGGGTTATTTGTGCTTACAGAGGGAAGCGCACAGACATCCTGGATGACCACAACCTGCTTCTGTTTACGCTTGGAGGAGTCAGTGTGCAGGGATTGTGGTTTTCTTTGTCTTCACTAATTTTAAACCCTTCAAATAGTTCCTCCTCAGTCTCCAGTTCACCAAGTATTGGACGCTGTTGAATTCAAATTGCTTGGTTCCCTGCATTTACAATTGTTTCTAATTGTAACAAGCGTGATGCTGCTTCCTCCGTGTAGCTTAAAATGAACTGCTTGAAGGGCCCTCCACTTGTAGCACGACATTCTGCCTTATTATGAACTAGCTTTTTTCTCAATTTGTATTCGGCCCCGACTTTCATACAAGCCTCGCCTGTTCGAACCCGCGGTCCTAGGATATTGAGTTTTGCACCAATTTTGTTCCATTCTTCCTTGATGTTAATATTTTCAAGCCATTGTTGTAACTAGCCAAATTTTGATTCATTTGCAAGATCTGGATCATTTCGTCAAATTGTTTCTTCGTTGTGACTTTAAATCTAGAAAAAGCGAAATGCTAATAGATGTAACTTCATATATTCTTGTAATGTTGATATATACTTCTTATTCAAATCCATTTTGTATATTATTCTGTTGTAATGTCAATTTGGAAAAACTTTTCTGTGTTGTCGGCAACAAAATCTCTAACGACTAATTTTGCAGTGTTTGTCGAATTAGAACGCGTCTTGTGGTACGAAAATTGTAACAGAATTTCATACAGAGTTGTAATTTCTCGCATACGACACACATAATACCAATTAGTCGTTACGACGCGTCTACTTGCTATTTTCGATACGACTACGCCAGCCGTAATAAGGGTGATTATCTAGACATTCGGTACCACTGGAAATTGTATAGCAGCAATATGTTTCCTAATTATCATTTTTTATAAATAAAATTATGAGAATTATTGATATTATTATTATTAAATAAATGCAAAGTGTCCGGACAAGTAATCTCTTAACTCGATGTTCCCCTTCTTCAAATCATCCACTAGCATCCTTAGTTTGTTTATCTTTTCATGATGATTGACTAGCACATTGCCTAGGGATTTTATGACATCCTTTCCTGCCTGACTCACGTTCTTTAAAAGTATAGAGTGAAATTGGGATGTTATTTCATTCCTTCATCGATGGACGGAAGAGGCCTTAGTCTACATTACCAAACAATGATTCATAATCATGGTCAGCATCATTACAGTATTTCGCATTAGCTTCGGTAATCTTCTGATATTTTATCTGCGTGATCTAATGGTCATATTTTATTTATTGGTATCTTTAATTCGCCGTCGTGTGTTTTCACAGTCTCTTACAACCCCATCCTTTCCCGGTTGTACATCTGTCACTTTCGCCAATGGCCAACGAGCTGAATGTGTATCTTAATTTTTAATGATTACTACTTGACCCACTTTTAGATTTCTATCCTTCTTCATCCATTTCGTACGATCATCAAATATTCATCATTCCATTTTCTCCAGAAGTGATTTTTTATTCTAAGCATTTGTTTCCATCTGTTAACGCCTGCTAAGCTTCCTTCTTCGATTATTGTCGGAGCCTCTAATAATGGACGTCCAATTATAAAATGGCCTGGTGTTAAAGTTTCGATGTGTTCCGGGCTGCTATCTGGGTCGTGTAATGGTCTCGAGTTTAAAACCGTTTCTAATGGGGCAAGCACCGTGCTAATTTCTTCATATCGCCTACGATTATTTTTAGGTGATTGATGATTCATCGATCAAAAAAAATTTTGGTCAAAAATTATCTTCTGCGAATGTCTCTTCGATTCTATCTCTCCCAAAAACGCTCAATTGTTGTTGTAAGAGCACACCTTATGCTATTCCTTGCTGGCTTCAATTGTATTGTCCCCAATAGAATCCATCTTAACTTTGTGTCACAATCGCCTCGTCGTGACGAACTCCGTCTTCCAATATTTATGGAAATAGGTCACTCCCAATTACCAGATCGACTTATTAATGTTAGGAATCGCTAAATCCAATGTTGTATTTGAAGTTGTTATCCGGATGTGCTGATGGTAGCTTCGGTAGAACTAGTGCCTCTGCTTTGATTTTGGTATCGCTGAGAAATCTTGGCCTTATCATCAATAATATCCACCATGGTTTCACCTAGACCTCTTAATATCACGTCTGTCTTCAATTTAGGCAGCTGTAGTAGTTGTGCTGCATCTTCGGATACAGATGATACTTGCTACCCTTGATCTATCAAGCCTCTTAGAGTGATGTATTCTCCATGCAAGGACTTGGGCAGTAGCCAGGAGAACATTTCCAGCTGTATTGACTGTCTTTGCCTTGGTGTTGCTCGTTTTCTCTAGATGGATTACCGTACTATGAAACAATCCACATTTCTGGCATTTACCATAGCTGCAGTATTTTTTTCTGTGCTTTAGACATTTAAGGCTCAACTGGGCTGCCTTCACCCAACTGCAAGTTACAATGCATGGTCTTCTCTCCGTCACTCCAAGTCTATCGAGTTGTGTGTATGGGACTGGAACGATGCTTGATATTGCTATTCTAGAAAGTCCAACGCATCCGCCAGACTTTGTATATCTTTTGTTTTTTTTTTTTTACATTTTGCTCATATTGAACCATCCTTTTCCAGTTTTTTTATTATAATTCTTGCTAGAGTCGGGTCTGCACGATCTAGCGATATCTCCATTGCTTTTAGTCACGTTGTCCAATAACTTTCGAATAACTGATTGACTATTTATATTGGGATGATCCAAGACTTTATTAGTTTCGTGAATAATATTTTTTTATTATTAGGGCGTTTCTCTAATAATTCCCACGCTGCCTTATAATTTGCATCCGTAACTTGCAAATGCTGCACCAAACGAAACGCATCTCAGCTTAGCTTTGAGGTAGTATAGCTTTTGTACCTCCGATGGCTTTTTTGAATAAGTCTGGGAAAGAATTCCACTCCTCCACATTTCCATCGAAGAATGGAATTTGTATTCTTTTTAATTTCACTGTAGGAGCGGCTTCTTTTAAGGCAATTATCTTTTCGATAACATTGCACATTTTCGCATTCATTTTTTCCTCCATCTCTTCTAATTCGTCATCCACTTCTTCCATTCCATGTTCTGTGGATAATTCCAAATGCAGCTGATTGATATTGTCGAACTGTTTTTCCCAAGAAACCTTCTTATTTTAGAGAATTTTTTTTGCTCATGCCTGAAATATCTTTTTCAACGGCATCTGAAAGTTTCAAGATCCTCCTTCTGATAAGTTTTCATTCAAAATGTTATATTCCAAAAATGTTTGACAGCTCATTGTACCTGTATAATTTCATCATGAGTTATACATTAGCATCTACCTAACCGTTGATGTAACACCAGTAAGATAAAAAATAAAGAATTTGATTGTCAACAATTAGGTCACTACCACAAAAAAATAAAATTCGACACAAAAATAAAACTAGAAAAAAATCTTATTTTTTTAACTGGCTATGGCCGGTTTTAACATCTTTCCAATAGATAAAAAAAATCGTGTTGTCGTTCTCATAAATCTTTTTTCATTATTAGACCTTTTATTTAAGTATGAACTGTCCGATAAGACCATCCCCCCTTTATCTCTTAACATAAAGTTAACTGAATTCATGTTGCCATTTTTTATATTGATAATATGGCAATAACAGCAAAATGTATTCAAATGAAAATTTAATAACGCAAGTCGTTTATTTTATATTGGAAAACTGAATAAAATATTTACTTCATTTGTTATTATTGTTTATTATTTTTAAACCACAATGAATACGCCACTGTGAAAAAATGCAGTGACTACATTTACAAAAACATTTACATTTACAAAAAACTTGCCATATCTCTGTAAAAAGATAATTTATTTTAATGGAAAGGTGCATGGTAGAAGAATATAGGTAGACGCGTCGACACAGCTGCTTGGACAATGAACTGTCAAACCAATTTTGGAATTGAAAATGTTGAATGAAAAATTATTTAAATTTGTAAAAATTGTTGAAAAACGTGAATTATAGTAGCCTCCGCATGACGTAGTATATGAAAATCTACTTATATTTGAAAAAAAACATTTAAATTTTTTTGACATATCAATGCTCCCAAGCGTTGATGCATCTACCTGCATTCTTCTGCCATGTCCTTTACTTTTCCTAAAGTAGGGTATTACAAAACTGGACTATAAAGAAAATATGTAAGAATGGGCCTATAAATCGGTTTAAAAGTAATTACTTTAAAGTAATTAAAAGTAAAATGGTAGACGAATCCAGGTCCAGATGCATCAACGCTAGGGAACATTGATATATCAACATTTTAAAATGTTTTTTTTTTTTTAATATGTAGATTTTTATATGTTTTCTTATATGATGCCAATCTGAGGTTATTGTGATATGCATTTTCAACAATTTTAACGAATTTGAATAAAATTTCTTCGTTTGGCAGTTCATTGTTCCAGCAGGTTACGTTCATGATCCAAGTGTAAGGTACCCTTCCAGCTCAACTGATTACCAAACGATCTGTCAATTAATTTGAATTGGCTGCAACAAAAACAAACGATATTTGTTTGGTCATTCTAAATTTATTGTAAAAAGAAAAAAATCAATAAAAATAGAATATGTACGATTTGCAAAAAGAAAGAGGTGCCAGGGAATAGTTAATTTTTTTGTCCCCAAGAATGAAAAAATTAGGGTAAATTGATGTTTACACCCACATCTCTTCAACATGAAGCATGTGGTTAAATCCGGAAACAAATATGGATTATTGCCTATCGCTGTCCCAAAATACCAACCACCACTGAAGCATGGCTCTATGTTGTTCCATTTCCTAAACGTAATATTGGGTTATTTTTATTTATTTCTTTCGACATGTTTTTTTTATAGATTCTTGCAGCAGCGCATTGTAGAAGAATAAAGGTAGTCGCATCGACGCAGCTGCTGGGACAATGAACTGGCGAATCAGATTTGAAATAAAAATTGTAGAAAAATGCATACATAACAACCTCAAATATAAAATAAAATATAAAAATATACTTATTTTTGAAAAACAAAAAAAAAATATTATATAATACTCTTCTACAATGCAGCGGCGCTGTTGTACATACATTTTAAAATTCAATTGTCAAAAAATTTACAACAAACATATTCGCCACGAAAATAAATATTTTCGCCTCAAGCATGAATTTTGACATTTCATCTTATAAAATTACAGCTGTTTTTAGATTAATTCGCTCGAAGGAAACCTTATAATTGGGCCATGGTTACGTTCGTTACAGGAAACCCAGACAACTAGAAAAGGAACCTCGTATTTTTTGCAATATTTTTATAATTAATTCGAAGTTGTTATTATATTTGATCAATTCGTGTGGCTTAATCATTAAAATAATAAGGAAAATATAGCAAACATATTTATTGAAATATTTAAAAGAAAAGCACAATAAATAGACACACATTCTTCTTTCAATATCAATTCAAACAAATGTTTTTGTTTCTTGATAATGACAGTGTCGATTTGTTGAATGTCTAAGTGATTACAACCACCAACACAAAAATCGACACATTCGAACACAGATAAAAAACATTTCTTAATACTTTAAATTTAAATGAATACTTTTTGGAAATGTTTGCTCTTTTCCAGAACTTGCAATCTACTAATTTTACAATATTTTCTGATATCATAAAGGAGAAATCTGTTATCGTAGGAGAAGATTTGACATTCTTGCAGTTCTGCAACAGAGTAGTTGGCAAAGTATCCGTTTCTTCATGTTGTGGACCCGAATAAATAAATAAACAAATTTTCACAAAATTTACTCCATCTTTTAATAGTTCAAATTAATCGAAATTTCTCAAACTAAATTCCATTAAGAAAAAGAAACGGCATTTATGATACAAATTAATATATGTCTCTATATTTTACACATATTATTAAAGTTACGTGTTTTCTTATTTTAAAATCTTAGCATAAACTAAAATTAATAATATTTTTCTCTTAGCATGAGCTTACTTATACTAAAATTTTTTGAAGATTAATAAAAATGACACTTTACACGATGTAAACTGTTAGTTTCCAAACGACGCCAAAGCTAATAAAATCAATAAATAAAAAACAAATATGTAATTTCTGTAGAAGAACACACGAAATTGAAAAAAAAAACGGCGAACAATTGTAGCTCAAATATTGCATTAACTTAGAGTAACACAGAATAAGAAAGCTTTTTGGTTCAATAGATTACGATTACAAGAACGATTGGTTGTGTTGGAGGGTTTTCTAAATAAATTCAAAGTAAATCAATCAATTTTGACAGCACTGTATATTTTGCGGATAAAGCTATAGGCCGCAAAGAAACCAATTGTCCCCGTTAAAAGCCAAAAAGTCAATACCATCAGACCTGCGAATTAATAAAAGTTGTACCAAAAATTGTATATTTGGCCCATATCAATATGAACTTACTTGTATATCCAAAGTACAATAGGGTGGGTATAAATTCTGTGATTTCCAATTTGGAAAAGAAGTAAAAAACACTGTAAAACAGAACATAAAATGCAGAGCCACCTGACACTATGAAACTTCGCCACCACCAACGATAATCCTATGAATAAAAAGGAAATTTTAATTGGGGAATTCACTATACACATCATACACACCTCTCCGCACAATTGAAAATAAGTCATTACTATAGATATTTGACCGCAGCTTACAACCAATATACAAAATACCAAAAATAAGAATCCGAAAAGATAATAAAATTGGTTTTGCCAAATGGCAGTAAAAACGAAAAACAGTTCAATAAACACGGCGCCGAAAGGTAGAATACCAGCCATTAGAGTACTGAAACAAAGCACAATAAAAAATGTTTAAGGAGCCATGTTAGCATTGCATCATTGAATAATCTTACCTAAGTATAACGTTCATATACCAGTGTTGTGTAGGCACTTGTCTCGGAATCATGTTTGTACGAACCGGATGCTGATATGGTTGCTTGCGATAACCAAAGTAATAGCCCAAATAGACTAGTGGAACTGATATACCGAACCATAGTAATAGTAATGATATCATTGTTTTAAACGGTACAGCACCACTCGATTCTTTGTCCCATATGAAGAAATTCAAAACGAAACCAGTCCTGTATGAATTGTAAATATTGATAAAATTGTTGTATGGTTTTTCTAAATATGCACCCTTACCCAAATACAACACTAGGATATAAAGTAGCGGTCAAAAATGCAGATTTTTTCCATTCCCGTCCTTTCATTGTTTTATACAACCGAGCAGCAAAATACCCGGCTATTATACCCATGAACACGTACATAAATATTCCAGATGTCATAAGGGCTCCCCGGGAAGATGGAGAAAGCATTCCAAGCATTGCGAAGACTAAAAATATAATATTAAAACACAAATTTGAGTTCACATTCACAAATGTATATATGAAAAAAATGACGTTTACTTTTCATATACCGCATATAAAATATATGCATTTTATTTCCAGAAGGAAAGTCGAAGATGACCCATAGAATCGTAGCACAATATTTATTTATGGTGATGCTTGCAAACAATTTCGGCCAAATTACTTCTGTCTATATAATTTTAAGAAACATACGTAATGATGTTATCGAAATGCATTGATTTCAATGATTCATGTGCATATGTTTAAAGGAAGTCGTGAAATGTTTGTTAATTTCTAAAAAATTTGGATCATTTATTCGAAAGTCTTTGTTTCGCGTACTTAAAATTTCTAATACAACCTTGGTAATTTCTATGCATGCAATTCCTTACCAAAGGGTTGACAGTCAATGAAAACGACAAAAATTTGGTATGCCACATCACTTGCACCGCGATTGAAAAGCATTTTTGCGATATAATATTTTCTTAGTACTTACAAATCGTTATTAACGACATAAAAAAAATTTGAATGCCACTTCCAATAACAGCAGAGAATAAACGGGTATTTTTTGGCGGCCGAAATACATCTCCATGAACTAACTTCCATCCCGTTTCTTCCAGTGTGTCTTCAATATTGTCATCTGTATTATAGCGAGCGATATCTCGCCTCAACGTGCGTATCATTATCATTGTTAGAATGCCTGCAAACATTTATTAACCATTGGAAATAATATCGAATTTTACGATTGGCTACTTTACCAGAAAGGAAAAATACAACTACAAGAGAGTTTATAATGCTGAACCAGTGAATTTGTACATCCTTCATTCCTAGATAAATATCCCAGCGTGATGCCCAGCTTACTTTTGATTCTTTCCACTCCACAGAATATGTGAAATATAACTGTGTGTTCGAATTGGGATTTACCAATTGAGGTCGAGCATTATCTGGAAAATTGCAGTTGTCTCCTTCAAATTTAATGTCCTTATAGTTTACAGAAGCAGTTTCTACCTCAAAGCCCACAACCCGATATTTATCTCTGGAATATTATCATAGATGAAACGTTTTAGAAAGTGTACTATTGCTAAAGCATTGTATACTTACTTCGTATGCATATGATAGGACAAAATGAATTTTAAATGATTATTTATGTACACATTATCGCCGTCCACCAGACCTAATCGATAGCCGTGCTCGTAACTGACCTCATTGGGATTATTGAGATTCACAATGCGCGTGGCTACCGGTAAGTTGTCGACCAAAAGATGGACGAAGTATTCGTGTTTTATTCGCTCGACCACCATTGCGGACTGTGGTTGTTCCCAATTCAAAGGTGAATAGTTCTTTTTATTACACAATAACTTACAGTTGACATTTACAGCCATCTGTACATCATACGGAGTATTAACTATGCGATCTCCCCGAAGTACTTCGCCTAAATTCTCTGACTTGTAAATAAGTGTTCCATTTTTAGGCAAACAAAACTGAAGTGAATAATATTGATAAGGAAGCTGTGTACGGCTGCTAGTCATTTTTACAGCTTTCACGTCAATTTTTTGCCCTTTAACAAACTCGACTGGCGCCACTCCCGGCACATAAAAACATTCAGTTCCACATACTAAAAAAATAAAAACAAATGTTATGAAGGATAACATTTTAATGCTGAATACTTACTTAATATCAGCAGGACACCCACCGTTGGCGTGTAACGCTAGAAATATATTTTATTAGATTTATTAGTCATATAAAATTTTTTCATGTTTTTTAGCGAGAAATTAGCTTGCGTGGCTGACTTAATATCCTTTGCTAATTCCCACAAGATAAATTATAATTAAAAAGTTTCCTACTTACCGGCATTGTTAAAGTATGCGCACAGCAGTAACAATAAATTAATTATTTTCCTTTCAATGAGATCTTCATGAAAATTACAAATTATATTTCTACTCCCAATAGTTCAAAAATCGGAGCTACTAGTTTTTATTTTGCCGCAGTAAATTTCTGCCTGCGCTGGATACTGCAAAACACAATGTTGCCAGAGTCAACATTTTTGGACAGATCGAAAACGATATACAAGTCTGACCTTTTGCTTATCGGACAGTTCATAGTTGTGTTCCAGTACTTTTTAGTTTTAAAACTAGCATAAGAGAGAAGAGTACGAAATGCCATTCTAATTTAGGTGTGCTCAAAAAAAAGGGAACGGAAAATTAGCAGAAAACAGTCTAAGGCTGGAAATACATAAAGCGCATATTTGGCTGGCTTAAGTCTTCGGCTGGCTTCTTCGTAGATGAATAAAGGAGTTTTAGGTTGACCTAGTTCGATTTTGGCCCTAGGCTCCTTTGTTCATTTCCGAAGAAGCCAGCCGATGACTTAAGCCAGCCAAATAAGCGCTTTATGTATTCCCAGCTTAACTCGGACTGGTGAAACCTTACGGAAATGGACGCCAAAATTTAAGAAAATGAGTATTGAAAATAAGTTAAAATTAATAAATATTTTTAAATGCTGTTTATTTAAAAAGTTTTGTTTTCAGAATACGTTGAAGAGTATTTAGAGGTGGAGTTTTCTCAAATCCCAGCCCCGGAGAAGCTGAGAAGCTGGAGCTGCCGGTTTAATTAATGTTAAGCCTGCTAGAAGACTTAAGCTGGGAATACATAAAGCGCTTACCTGGCTGGCTTAAGTCATCGGCTGGCTTCTTCGGAAATGAACAAAGGAGCCTAGGGCCAAAATCGAACTAGGTCAACCTAAAACTCCTTTGTTCATCTACGAAGAAGCCAGCCGATGACTGAAGCCAGCATAATATGCTCTTTATGTATTTCCAGCTTTAATGCCACAACCAACCTAAAAAATAAAAAGTAAATGTTCACAGTAATATGTAGGTAGTCGCATCGACACAGCTGCTGGGCCAATTAACTGTCAAACCGATTTTGAATTTGAAAATATGAAATGAAAAATTATTGAAATTTGTAAAAATTGTTGTAAAATTCATATTATAACAACCACCGATCCGTGTCGTAAAATAAAATATTTATTTTTGATAAAACATTTTAAAAATTTTTGACATATCAATGTTCCCAAGCGTTGATGCATCTACCTATATTCTTTTACCACGCGCCAACATAATTTTGCTATGTATCGTCCCAGAGGACGAATACAATAACTACATATGGGGTCAGAGATCAACACTGCACTTGAAACGTTAATAGTCCTTAGGAACCACAGAAATCAAGACAACATTAATGAATCACATTGAGAAGAAGAGGAACAATTTTTTTGAAAGCATCAAGTTTCGTGAAGTCATTCAGGAAAAAGAGGAATCTTTAGCAGATTTTACCCTACGACTTAGGAAACAGATACGGTTATTTTTTGGACATAATGCTAACTGAACAGCTGATTTATGGGTTGGAGTGCCGGAGCATTGTGACCAAATAATTGGAAAGTAGTCAGCGTTTGAAATTGCTCAACGTCTGGAAGTGTGACGGGACTGGAGATTAAATGTCCCCTGTTACTGCAACAGAACCCGTTAAGCAAATAATGCTGCGGAATTCAGCAAATCTAAAGCTGGGAATACATAAAGCGCTTATTTGGCTGGCTTAAGTCATCGGCTGGCTTCTTCGGAAATGAACAAAGGAGCCTAGGGCCAAAATCGAACTAGGTCAACCTAAAACTCCTTTATTCATCTACGAAGAAGCCAGACGATGACTTAAGCCAGCCAAATATGCGCTTTATGTATTTCCAGCCTTACATAGGTAATGCAGTTCAAAACAAGTGTAACGGGATCTACCGACCTGCCGGTGTTGTAAAGCAGCTCACATTGAAAAAGTATGCAAAGCTACACAGGCCATAGAATTCATTGCATTGGACGAGTGGTACTTTCTGTGAAAATAGGCTCAACTAGGCGAAAACTTTTACATAGTCGATGGGAACTTCGATTGGCTATTTGGCAGAGAATGGATTGCACAGTTCGTCAAAGAGATTGATTTTGTATGTATGTGGACACACCTCGTTTAATGCTTAGTAAAGCTGATCAGGTTCAAAAACTTCTAGCAGAGTTTCAAGACATTTTAAGTGATACAATTCCACCCATTAAACTACACTTAATTAAGAATGCAAACCCGATATTTGCCACTCCGAGAGAAATATCTCTTGCGCTTAGAGAAGCCTATGCCACCGATATCGATCGCAAAAGTAAGTCAGGTTTTTATGAACGAGCCGAGTTTTCGAAATGGACATCAACCACGCAATTTGCTGCTAAGAAAAATGAGATCAGATCCGAATAACCGCAATTACAAACCTATAGTCTACCCTAGAATTATTGTTATTATGAACATCCGGTTTCAAAACCTTAGCATATATTCCGTAAAATGAGTGAAGCAAAATATTTTTGTCATCTGGATATAACTGACGCATATTCGCAACTTTAGATCGATGAGAAGTTAGCACATGCTCTTACAGTAAATACACTGATCCACGTCTTAATAAGACCTGCCCGTGCTAAATTTGTGTAATTTTTTCGATTTCGAGACTTTTGATAAATTTTTAACCGGATTGAGAGCAACGCTTGCGCGCTTAATAGAAAAAGGCTTAAGCTGGGAATACATAAAGCGCTTATTTGGCTGGCTTAAGTCATCGGCTAGCTTCTTCGTAGATGAACAAAGGAGTTTTAGGTTGACCTAGTTCGATTTTGGCTAGGCTCCTTTGTTCATTTCCGAAGAAGCCAGCCGATGACTTAAGCCAGCCAAATATGCTCTTTATGTATTTCCAGCCTTAGAGTTAAAATGATCTAAATGTGTATTTGGTGCAAAAAAAAAAACAATTCAGGTGACTATAATCAGTATGCGGATGACACCGACGATTACTTGTGGGTTTAATCACGGTCTTCGAATCAACGTAAGGAAAAGTATAGTGATCTTCGTTGCATACGTCACACTTTATTTTACTTTGACAGCCAAGGCTTGCACTATGGGGCTAAAGGCATGTTTTTGAGGCAGCAAATCACACGGGCGAGGTAGAACTTCCCACATATAGCTTTCATCCGATTTGGGATTTAGGCCCTTCAGAGTAGTAATATGAACTATATATAGCAATGATATTCGGTACGTGATATCACATACAGGTTAGAAATACTTTTAACAAGTTTGGTCGAAATCGGTTTAGATTTGTGTCTGGGATCATATGATAAAATTCCGGTAAGATTTAAGTCTACCACATTTGGACCATATCAATTCCTTTATAGCTATAGCTATCATATATAAGTTTCAGGCGATTTTGTATCTAAGCCTTCGCAGTCATAATATAACATCTCCTTTAAATTTAGTTGAAAACGATTGAGATTAAGATATAGCTTATTTACATATATTTCATCAGATTTCAAGCCGTATTGCGCATTCAATAATGACCGTTGTTAATTTATTTCCTTCAAACAAATGCACAATATAGAAGCTCTACTAAGTATGCATAGCCATGTAGGGTATCATATTGTAAACCCAGCATGACTTTTGTCCTTTTCATACTCGTCAGATCAGATCAATCTACTAACTCTACTCTGTCCTGAGCCAACAGTACTTTTTATCTCTTAAAAATGTGTTCAAAAATGTTATTAGTTAGCTTTTTCATAGTTGTAAAACATTTTTCGATAATATTTAATTTACGTATTGGTGAAATCTATTATATTACATTTCACCACATGTATATGGTTTCCAAAATACGCCCCTATACCAAAAGTTCCACTCCAAATGACACACGGACGAAAACAAAAACTAGATTAAAAGACACTTCACATCCACCCACTAAAAAAATTACAACGTTTAAAATTATACTCTTTTCCACTTTTTGTTGTTAATATATTGCAAAAAGTTTTCGTTTGGCGCCAATAATAACAAAAGGTTTTATTAAATTGAAATATCAGGAAATGGTGAATAAATGTAGCATCTTTGACTGCTCGGTATAAGGCCGTGAGTTGTTGCCAGATTGTAATTTTTTGTTTTCAAGGATTTGAAAGTATTATGAACATAATTCCATTAATTTTTTATTCAAACGACTAACTTTAGAAAATGAGTTTTTGCCACAAGAACACAGTATGCAATCATTAAATTTAACAAGAATTTAGCCGACTTCTACAACGAATGAGGAGTGGCAACCGGAACCGAAAATGTGAACTCGGTTCGCGATTTTTCAATTTTGGGGTTATCGGCAGGGACCGGAGCCTCATATGAATCCACAGATATGGATTCGGACTCGGTTTGCCTCGGTTCAGCAGATGTGAGGGCCTCAGATTAATCCGATTTATTAGACTCGGACACAGACTCAGAGATTGTCACAGCAGTAATTGGTTCCATTAGTGCTGCTTCCACGGTAGCAGAGAGTATCAGTGGGGGACTATCCGGGGTGGCGATACCATCATCAACGTTCAAAAGTTCGTCTTCTGAATATACTTTCATCGACATACTATATAACTCGCGCTCTGGAAATTTCCAAGTCGTTCTCTCTGATGGAAGTGCAGCCATGAATTGACTGCAGCTGTGTTTTTTCCATAAAATGCAGATTTCGCAACGCCGAACTACAAAACGAATCTCAAAGTACGCATCATCATTTGAATATCACCGTGTACACACGTTTGAGGTAAGTATATTCGCCCGATCTGAGAGCTAAAGTACTACGATAGGGGAGGATTTTCGGGAATCGCTCCGAATAAGAAAGTTTAAGTGAATGTGCCAATCTACCATTCATTCGCATGACGCCGCTCCAGTGGCAGGATTGCTGGTGGGGTTGCTGCTAGCGTCTACGTCGATGGCGTCTGATGGAGGCTTCAGACATCGGAATCGGCCAATAAAGATCCCTCCTGTTTTTGAGATTTCGCACCAATCTCATGGGGAGTGTTCTCTATGTCTTTTTGAAATGCTTCTCCGCTTCCAGACGAGGGAATGGTACTGATATCAAGCTCCTCGCAGAAAGGGGTGTGTCATTTCCAAAGCCAGAGGGAACACTCTCCTTACTGAGTCTCAGTGTCTTAGTCTTCTTCAG